CTTTTCAGGGAGCAATGTGGAATCATCAGTCTCTTATTTCAGAATCCAGAATCACTGAGGTTGGAAAAGCCCTCCCAGCCCATGGATCCCCCCTGTGCCCGATGCCCCCCTTGTCCCCCAGCCCAGAGCACTGAGTGCCACGGCCAGGCCTTCCTGGGACACCTCCAGGGAGGGCAACCCAAAACCCCCCGGGCAACCCCCTCCAAAGCCCGAACAACCCTTCCAGGGAGAAATTCCTCCTCATGTCCAACCTAAAAGAAACCAAGAAAGAAGCAAGAAGCAACCTCTGTGTCCCAATCACTTTCTTGAGGGCTGACTGCTCACATTTTTTAATGGTATGAAAGTGGCCACCAGGTCTGGAAAATAAAAATAGGCTTCTCATGCTCAAAACCCCAGCCCCAGGATGAGATTCTCACTCACCACCCCTCAGCAGTCCCCCATAGGGCCTGATGTCCAGCTGCCACGATCCCAGGATGTGTTTGGTGCTGGTGCAGCTGAGCACTGTTGTTCCTGAGGAAGCAAGAGCTGGTGTAAAGGTGTGACCTTGCTGGAGCAGCTCTTGTAAAGCACTCGTGTATTTATGGAGATCTGATTGCATGTGGAGCAGGAGATTTCAATGAACAGGCAATTTGGAAGTGGGAATACGGTATCAGCTTTGCTATGACTGATGTCTGCATAATGAAAGTGTCTTTTTTTGGTACTGTTTTCTTAAAAAAAGCCTATTTGACAAGGAAGTAGAGGAATGTGAAGCTTGAATACATCTTTAAATCTGCATGTTGATTGCATAACTTACAACCAGGACTAAAAACTTCCTTTAGTTATTACAAATGTGTGCCCTGAGTACTACAAAAACAGGATCACCACTGTTTGTTTCCAACATAACACTTTCATTTTCCTTTTGACTCCTCTTGCAACCGAGATAATATTTGTGTTTCTTGGTGCACGGCAACGTTGCTGAGAGACTCTTGTTTTTCTGTGATGGCTTTCAGCCCCATTTTGCAGAAAAATGTCACAGGATGACACTGCTCCCATACAAGTGACAATAAACTTCCCTCTGATTTTCATCAGAGTCAGATAAAAGTAAAATCTTTCCCTCCTGGGGAAACACCTCCTGGCTGACAGCAGGGGAAGTGCTTTGAGGGGACCTGGGTCATTTCTGCAGCGGGAAATGGTTCTGCCCTGGTTGGAGAGAAGCACTGGGGACATATTTGGGTTTTAAGGGGTTGTGGGAGGACTTTAGAGATTAAAAAGGAAAAAAAAGACTGAGATGTGATGATAAAGGTCTGGTATTTGCAGATAAAGGAACAAACCCTGCTAGAGAAGGTCAAGTTTTGTTGGCAGAAAAGCATTTGCCTGGACACCTTGGAAAGCCTTGGGCTATGCCCATGCAAGGTTTGGATTTTCTTGGAATTTCCACTGAATATTCCTGCCCCAGTGAGTGCTGCTACTCCAGATCAGCCCATGGTATCAACCTCAGAGCAAGGTGGGCAGGGAAAATGTTGCCATTATTAATCAGTAAGAAAAACTGTTCTACCCAGGGCACTAACTCAGAAGACAGCAATTATCGAGGTGGGTTTGTTGGGTTTTCAGGTAAGAATGTGGCTTTACAGTATTTATAAAAAGTTACACTTGGTGTATTTCCTGATTTCTTCTTTTTATCTAGTGGAAAGTGTCCCTCCCTGTGGAATTAAATGATCTTTAACTTCCCTTCCAACCCAAACCAGTCTGTGATTCTGTGATTTTAAAGTTGCCTACAGATTTACTTTTAGAAAGCAGCCCCACTTCTACCCTTGTGCTGAAATGCAGCAGAACTACGAAGCTCTGAGGAGGAAAGGGAGCATCTCTTACTGCTGGGGCAGAGGTTTTCAAAGTCCTCTTTAGGGTGAGTCCTTCACTCTGACTTGTGAACTCTGAATAAACATTGTAACAGTTTTCAATGCCCCATTATTCTGACTTTATTCATATTTTAAGTGGCAGGATGGGGTTTGATTTTTAGTTTTTCAGCACAAGCCGGGGGAGCTCCCAGCTCCTCAAAATTCCAATAAATAAGTAAATTAATGTCTCGAGTTTGCCTCCTGAGGTGTGAGATTTTGGGATAAATTTGTATACCTTTGTAAAATTGGTTTTCGTGATTTTTCTCTGCTAGGACTTTCTAAATGACAGTTGATAAATCTCTCTCTCTTGAAGGCCTATTTTCCAAAACTTAAGGCCATAAATACAATCCTTATTATGTACTGCTTTTAACAGTATATTTCTGGTTCCAGGCACAACCATGTTTTTCCTCTTCACTGGTCACTGCACTGTAAAGTTACATTTTTCCTGTGGTAAACCCCCGGATTTATGTGGTTTTGGGCTGCACTCGTACAGGTGCTTAATGGCTTTACTTGATAATTCCAAAGCAAATGAATCTGGTTTCATAATTGCATTGTTGGTAACACAGTTAGAGTCCAGAGCAGGTTTATTTTTTGAGTGGGAATCTGAGATTTTACAGCACAGGAAGCAGCTGCAGCAGGTTCCTTCAGAGAGCTGCCGGCCCTCCCGTGCCTGTGGTAACCCTCACACAGAAAGCACAATTCCCTGTCATTTTAAACCTATTCCTTGACACAAATAGTCCTGACACAAAACTTTCAAATCAGGAGCTTCCTGCTGCTTTTCATCACGTTACCTTCCTGCTATAATGTGGGGAATCAGCCATTTCCATAGCTGCCCTTTTATTTCGTTTCATTTGGTGTCCGTTGCCGTCGGGCTCGAGATTTTAACTCCATTTTCAACTTTTTATAATTCCCATTCAGAGCTTTCCATCTCCCAGGAAGCTATTCCACGCTAGATTGCAGGTTTGGGCTGATAGGTTTTTTTGGTGACCTTAAAGAGGAAAATGTGCAGGCTGCCAGTTCCCTCAACTCTTGGAATAATTGGAAATGGAAATGGTTTGGAATGATACATTAACTGTGAACATTAGCCACTAAGCATGCTTACTAGCTACTTTGATCAAGCTCTTTTTTCCTGACAAAACCCCCTTTGAAATGAATAGGACAGAGGTTCCTTTCACTTCAATCAGAGTTCTCAGACACGAGGAGAAAGAAGGACTTCATAACCTTTAAAAAGACTCCCCTAGTCCATTCATGGATCTCCTGGAAAGCTCAGCACTTTCCCTTGTGCTGGAGTTACTAAGCCAGCCTCCTGGACACTTTTAGGCTCCCTTCTAGTGAAGATTTCCTTAAACATGAGATCAAATCCCTCAATAATAAGGCTGGAATCTGGGATGTACAATGGCAGCAACACCAGGAATATTTGAGAGCGTGGATTCATCAGCATCACTTCCCTAATTGCATCCTCTGAGTCTGGAGCTGGCATGGAGCAGAAGACAATTCTTCTGAACACTGACTATCTTGATTATTTTTGTGTATTTACAGTCAAATCCATTAGCACCCTAAAAATTCCAGTTTATCCTTTAACACCCTACAGTCAATCAAGGTGTCGAACACCCCACAAGGCTCAACAACCCTGTGCATTGTCAGGGGCCAAAACCACCTCTGGACTCTCTGTTTCTGTATTTTCTGTGCCCTTTTTGTTTTTTAATACTTCTTGTACTTATAAGGTAACAATACAGAACATAGAACTGCTCATGCCATGTCATGTTGCAATAATGTACATTGAGATAATTGTCTATAAGGGATGCTCGTGCTTGGAGAAGATTAATGCAGTGAGAGAAAAAAAAAAACCCAAAAAACAAACAACAGAAACAACAACAAAACAGGATACATTTGCAGAAAAGACCACCAGGCTTCAGGCAGCTACAGTGAGAACAAGGATTCCTTGTGCTAAATGTCACTGTGGAGAAGCAGAACCAAAAGCCCCCGAGCCTATATGACTCTGACATTTCCACTGATACAGGTGCTCAAGTGGAATCTGGGGGGTTTCAGTCTATCCAGTGCTCAAATGTGCATATTCAACTCCATTACCTCTACAGAAAACACAAAGACAAGTCAGAATTCAGCTGCTGAACAGTTTCGTTTGAGACGTGGTTTCCTTGATTTGTGCATCAAAAATAACTTATTTTGTCTACAGGTGAGGTACAGCTCATGATTTTTTCACAGCTAAAACTCTTCAGAAAACCTGTAATATTTTACCAGAGGAAGAGATCAGATTATGCACTTAAAAGATTGATGGTTCTGGCTTAAAGCTAAACTAATGTAAGCTGAAACTTTAGTTTTGCCCATGTTCAGCTCTGTGCAATGGCTTTTTTGACTACATAAAAAAACCCCTCTGTATCCTACAGGGCACCATTTAAAAAAAAATTGCATTGCTTGTAGAAATAAAATAATGGGATGAGTTTAGGACTAAGAGCCACCTTGAGGGTAAATATGTTCCATTTTTGTTCTTTTTTTTATTTTTTAAGCAGTGAAAAAGAACAGAACATGCACACAAAGGGAAAAGGCTATTATTATCTATTGTTCAGCTGTGCTGACTGAAAGGGGAAACAAATCTTAAAGCAGTGTGTAAAATGCCTCTTTCTTGCAGAGAAGCAGAAAGAGGAAAGTTCTTTCTGTCTTTCAACTACTCAAGGAAGTACTTCAGGAGGAACTGCCTGTTCCACTCAGCTGCCTCACCTTTCCACATGTATGTCACCTGTGCAGCGGGGCTGTAACACACTCCAGGTAATGGAATTTTTATGGAAAATACAGCTCATGCAGAAAGGCATCACAATGGCTCTTTGAAAATGCCAACCCTCTGCTGCTACCAATTAATCATGAGTCACTTTAGGGGTATCAGACCCATTCTGGCCGCTTCTAAAACGGTGCTGAGCTATAAATTCTAGGCTAGAAACCATACAACTGTTAAACATTTATGTCTTCATCCTAATCCAAGTCAAGAACTGTATGAATAGAAAATTTTAAAGGGAGTTATAAATGTGCAAAGTATCACACTTTTGTTCTCTGTTGGTTTTCTCATCACCTTTAAAGCTTCATTTGCTCACATGACTATTACTGAGCATTTACCTGATGTTTTCATAGGAGTTAATCCAATTTCCACATCTCTTTCCCAAGCTAATTTGGGTCCGTGGCTGATGAACATAATGTTCTTGCTCTTTCTTTTTGCCTCCTGTGTATTACTGTGCTTGTTTCATCTTCCTTCTCTCTCTCTCTAGCTGGCATAATTCTTTATTCTTCATTTTGTAAATCACGTGTTTGTCAAGAACAGTAGTTGTATTTGCTGTATAAAACCACGTAAATAAAAAAATGCAACAGGTAAGTAAAAATGAACAGCAATTTAGAGACTAAACCTATTTTTTCCTAATTAAAAAATGGAATATTAGGTACAGCTGGCACTGTGATCCAAATGGTTAAGCTTTGACTAAGAGTTTTGGTTTAATTCAGAGGCAGAAGGTTGCACTGACAACTCCTGTGAGAGCTCTGAGGTGGAGGTGAATTTAGTAAACTAAAACATGACAAGTTCCACTTCAAAATGAGAAAACTTCTTTATATTTAAGGCAGCCAAGCACTGGAATAAGTGCCCAGGGAAGGTGTGGAGTCTCCCTCTCCAGACACATTCCAAACCCACCTGGATGCTTTCCTGTGTCACCTGCTCTGGGTGCCTCTGGTTAAACTGGATGATCTCCAGAGGTCCCTTCCAAACCTAAATATTGTGTGATTCTGTGGAGAAAATAAATAAATAATTGAAACGTGCAGGCACGAGTTTGTTTCTAAGTCACTCAGCTCTTCTGACAAGCTCTTTTTATTGCTGGAAGACTTTAAGTTCACACCAGCTGACGAGCTGAGGAGAGGAACCAGATGGTTTGTCCAGAGAGCAGGGGACACTGTGGGGACACTGTGGGGAACAGCAGGGAGACAACAGGGGCATGGTGGGGACATGGTGGGAATACTGTGAGGCCACGGCAGGGACTGTAGGGACACTGTGGGGATATTGTGGGGACACTGTGTGGACACTTTAGGGACAGGGTGGGGAGACAGTGGGGATACTGTAGGGCTATGGAGACACAGAGGGGACACTGTGGGGAAAATGTGGGGACACAGTGGGGACACTGTGGGACATGCCATGGACACCATGAAGGCACTGTGTGGACACTGTGGGGACACAGCAGGGAGACAGCAGGGACACTGTGGGGACATGGAGAGAATACTGTGGGGATACTGTGGGGACACTGCGGAGACTCTGGGGACAGTGTGGGGAGACAGTGGGGACACTGTGGAGGTACTATGGGGACACGGCAGGGACGCTATAGGGACACTGCAGGGACATTGTAGGGACATTGTGTGGACGCTTTGAGGACAGTGTGGGGAGACAGCGGGGACACTGTGGGGACACTATGGGGATGCAGAAGAGATACTGTGGGGACAATGTGGGGACATGGCGTGGACATGGTGGAGAAACTGTGGGGGCACTGTGGGGAGACAGTGGGGACACCGTGGGGAGACAGTGGGGATACGGCTGTGACACCGTGGAGACACTGTGGGGACTCTGTGGGAAGACAGCGGGGGTACTGTGCGGACACTGTGCGGACCCAGCGGTGGCACTCCCGGGACACTGTGGGGCCGCGGCGGTGACAGTTTCGGGACACTGTTCGGACACTCCGCTCTCCCCTCGCTCCCGGTCCCGCCGCCCCCCTCAGGCTCCCCGAGGCTCCCTCAGCCTCCCGCCCTCGGCTGCGCGCGCAGCGCCGCTCCCGCCGCGCGGGCTGCCGGGACGGCTGGCGGCCGTGGTTAATGTCCGCCATGTTTGCCATGGCGCAGGGAGCGGACCGAGCGAGCCCGGCGCGGATCTAGGGCTGCGGGGCGTGCGCGGCGAGCTACGGGCGGCCCCGCCGGGAGCTGCGCCGGGGCGGCGGGACCCTCCATGGTGGCGCGGGCGCGGCGCGGGAGCGGCTGGGAGGCGGCGGCGAGGCCGCACTGAAGGCCCCCCCCCCCCGCCCGCCCGGCCCCGGGGTGTTATTGTGAGGGGGAGACAATGAGCAAACTCTCCTTCCGCGCCCGGGCGCTAGACGCCGCCAAACCGCTGCCCATCTACCGCGGCAAGGACATGCCCGACCTCAACGACTGCGTCTCCATCAACCGGGCCGTGCCGCAGATGCCCACGGGGATGGAGAAGGAGGAGGAATCGGTAAGGGAGCGCGGCGCAGGGGGGGCACCATTGTTTACAGGCACCCCCCGCGCGGGCGCCGCCGGCCCGTATTCACCAAGCGCGCTACGCCCGGCCCGCCGCGCCGCGCGCGGGGCGCTGCGCAAACGGCGCAGCCTCGGCCGCGCTCCGCGCCGCGAGCGGGGCCCGCGCCGCCGGCCGCCATCTTCTGTGCGCGTCCCGGCCGCCGCAGCGGGGCGAGCCAGCGCACGGGAGAGCGGCGGTGCGGGACAGCGCGGGGGCACGGGCGGCACTGCGGGTGGCGGAGCTGCGGAGCGGCGCGGGATGCCGGGGCGGCGCGGTGCCGTGCCGGAGCGGCTCGGGATGCCGGAGCGGTGGAGCTGCAGAGCGGGGTGCCGGAGCAGGGAGCTGAGGTGCCGGGACAGCTCGGGGTGCTGGAGCGGGCGCGGAGTGCCGGGGCGGCTCGGGGTGTCTGTCACTTCGGGGTGTCACTTCGGGGTGTCGGGGCGGCACAGCGGCTCGGGGTGCCGGAGGTGCCGGAGCCGCTGCTCGGAGGTGCCGGCTCGGGGTGCTCGGGTGTCGGAACAGCCCGAGGTGCCGGAGCGGTGGAGGGGCTCGGGCTGTCGGAGCCGCTTCGGGTGCGGGATGTCGGAGCAGCTCCGGGTGTCGGAGCGGGTCGAGGTGTCGGAGCGGCTCCCGGTGCCGGAGCAGCTCCGAGCGCTCGTAGCGTTGTGGACTAACGCTGATACTACTCTCGGCCGATCCTGTTGTGAGTGGCTGTCAACTCGCTCGGGCTGGGGAGGCGGCGGCGGCGTGGAACTGCTGTGAGCAGCGTGCTCTGCTGTGGCACCGCACGGGGAGCGAGCGGATCCCTGCCGGCGTCTCCCTGTCGGAGGGACAGCGGGATGTGTCCCAGTCCTCCAGCCGAGCCCGGCGGCCGCGCCGCGTGTTGGGCTGTCAGTCCCTGCGCTTGGAAAAACACTGTGACTGGTCAGGGGATGCAGGGGACAGCCCGGCACTCACACACTGTGACCGGTCAGGGGATGGAGGGGACAGGGACAGCCCGACAATCACACACTGTGACCGGTCAGGGGATGCAGGGGACAGCCCGGCACTCACACACTGTGACTGGTCAGGGGATGGAGGGGACAGCCCGACAATCACACACTGTGACTGGTCAGGGAATGCAGGGGACAGCCCGGCACTCACACACTGTGACTGGTCAGGGGATGGAGGGGACAGCCCGGCACTCACACACTGTGACTGGTCAGGGGATGGAGGTGACAGGGACAGCCCAGCACACACACACTGTGACCGGTCAGGGGATGCAGGGGACAGGGACAGCCCGGCATTCACACACCGTGACCGGTCAGGGGATGGAGGTGACAGGGACAGCCCGGCATTCACACACTGTGACCGGTCAGGGGATGGAGGGGACAGGGACAGCCCGGCACTCACACACCGCACATGTGGGGCTGGAGGACACGGCAGCTTTGGCTCCCTGTGTGAGGCAGTGCCTCCGTACTTGTAGCCACCCCCGGAGTTATTTAACACCGATGTTTTGTGCCGCTCGCTGTGCACGGCGTGTCGGAGGCGTCAGCTGGACCCTTCGCGTGAAGTGCTGGAGCTTTAAGTGTTATTTCTAAGTCAGCCGGCGCGTGTTCAGGTTCGATATGTGATGTGTGTTCTTCCCGTAGCGTTATGGGAGGGAAAAGCTTTTGTGCAGTTAGGTAAACGTGAGTTTCCGGGGTTTCTGGTGAGCGGTAGGACAGCTTTGAAAACGCTTGCTTGCTTTCCGGTGTCCTCCCAGTGTGCTGGGTCTCGGAACATCTTTTCTGTCCGAACGAGGTTTATTTGGTGCTCCTCGGGGTTGTATAAGCTCAGAGGCTGTCGCCTGATGTGTCTGTACTTGCAGGCAGAGCCGGTAGTAAAGGCACCCTCCCGAATTTCCTCAATGAATCCGTGTCTCCGCCTCAGCCAAACCTCTGTGCCTGTGGATTGGCTTTTCCGAGGTTACAGCTGTCAGAGGAGGCTCCGTGCTTCCCTCCTTGGTTTTACTCACCTGACTGGTGATACTAAAAGCAATCTGTTTTATCATCGTGGAGTTTTGTTTTCTTTTCCTGTTTACTATATGTCTAATACACTGTGATCAAAGCTTCCAGTAATTCCCAAGGAGTAACTCTGCTAGGATCTGGGATTGGAGTTAAAAGGAACAGCGTTGTGGTACTAATGAAGCAATATTGGAGACGAATTTGGTTTTCTCAGTCTTGAATGTCTACCTTGCTGTGCTGTGCTTGCATTTAATATCTACGTTAATTTTTAAGTCTTATTTTGATAAATCATGTTTTCTTTTAAACCTGTCAGTGGAAAATTGCTGTAAGAGTTCAGGCAAACCAGCTGCTCGTGGGCTGCTTAAATAACCGAGGAGATCAGATTTAGACTTCAGTAAAACCGAAGGAGCATTGTCCTAAAAAGTTGCTTTTCTGTGAGAGTGAGGTTTGTTTCCTCTGCACTGACATGTGGCTCTATTTGATATATTATGTAATAGTTCCAAAATGAAACGATGGAAGCAATGTATAAGCACAGTGCTTGATGCATCAGCCAGGCAAGATTATAAATTCTGCTATTCATAGATTATTCAGATTATTGCCATGGAGTGATGGTTTCAGTCATGGGGTTGCCCTTCTTCCAGCGTTGCAGAGATAATTCTTTAATGTAGTTTTTTTGGGGGGAGTGATATATAAAGCCCTCCTAGGCAAGGCTGTTGTAGATGACAGTAAATTAAATATTGGAGAAATAGCTAAACAGCTTTAATTCACAGCAAATACTGCTGTGATCAGTTTGATGTGTTTTGAAAGGGACTTTTCAGGGGGGAGGGGTCTCTACATCCTCACTTCTGACATCTCAGTTGCTCGAGTGTCTCAGGGCCTTTTTCTAGCTCAGGTTTTTGCTGGGGTGCATCTCGTGAAAGGTGTTTGAACCCTCAGGGGGAGCTGCTGTTTTACACTTGCTGGGTGGAATCGCACAGGTCTTATGGCACACTGTGCTCCGGGGTCACACAGCACCTTCTGGCTCTATTCCACTGGAAATAATGATTATTTACGCATTTGCAGGATTTCAGATGGTTCAGAGCAACATGCCTGTCTGTCCTTTACAACCAAGTTTCGCCAGGACAGGCACGTGATTTAATTACTTTGTGATTGATCTTTTTTCCTATACAGAGGTGCAGATTTTGATGCATTTATTCGTGATGAATATTCTGGAACTATTTCTATATAAGCATCGGAGAGATTTACATCCACTTGCAGCGTTTCACAAACGAGCAGCTCATTTCTCTCACCCAGGGGTTCCAGCTGTGAAAGAATTAGGTTTCTCTTCTGCGGCGTGTTTATATTGCCAGTGTTTATAATTTACTCCAAATTAAACCCGGGGAAGAAAATTGCGTGGGTTTGTTTTTAAACTCAGGTGAGACGGGGATCACTGTTAAACAGAAGCAGGAAAATGTCCTTTTGTGAG